CGCATTTACGAGCTTTGCGCGCCTCGCCATGTTGACAGTAAAAGAGATCGATGCCTCATATACATAGGGTGTCGTAAAACACCATCTTTTGCCACTTGATATGTTATTTTTACCACTTCAGGCATACTAGTATTTTTGCAAAAATGTGTAGATATATGTACTCAAGTAACAAACTGACGTCATTAAACGTCATTAAACGTCAAAATAATGTCATTATGACATTTAATGACAGTTTACTATTTGGGATGTGTAGATATATGTACAAATGCGTGGATTTCTCACATTTATCGCAGTAATAAAATTAGTTGATAATAAAATCTGATTTTAAGCGATGAGATGGGAAATTAGGTTAGAAATGAAGAAATGAAGAATGTTACTTCTATCTCTTCAGGCTACGCATATTAGTATTTTTGCAAAAATGTGTAGGTATATATATATATATATATATATATCCAAGTAGCAAATTGACATCATTAAATGTCAAAATAACGTCATTTTGACGTCTAACGACGTCTGTTTGCTATTTGGGATATGTAGATCATGTATAAAAATGCGCGGATTTTTCACATTTATTGTAATTATAAAATCAGTTGATAAATTTATAAAATTGATGAATTTATAAAATAATTGATGAATAATAAAATCAGTCGAATAAAATGATTTTTAACGAGATGATAAATTAGGTTGGAAATAAAGAAATAATCTCATTTCTTCTTTACAACGCGACGTATTTAGTTATAATTTGATTATATAATTGATATTTTGTTCGACGTGGAATAATGACTGAAATGAAGAAACTTCTTTTATAAAATAAAATAATATAGTCCATTTTGTATGCTCTTGAAGAAATATACTTTTGTTTGACATTTTTTATTTTATTCCGAAATTCGAAAGTTTATTTCACTATTAGGAAGATCAACGTGTCCAGAAATAATTTTTTCTTTATTTTTAATTATTTTAAATAATTCTCTAGCTTTTTCATAGATTGTTGGAATTTCGAACTTTCTAATTGTCCGGCAGATTTTATAAGTTTTCGAATGAAGAGCCTCACGCTGAGCCTCACGGTCGGCTGAACCAAATTAAAAAGAAGCCATGAAGTTAATCAAAGGTATCAATCATCGAAGACTCTTGAAAGGACAAGAAGTTCGTGCGCATTTAAAGATTTTTAAATGTACAACATCTATAACTTGTGCTATGCTTTTCCATGCGATAATTTTCATATTATTTTAATGTAATGTGAAATAAAACCAACATTCCTCAAATAATGTCTTACATAAAAAATTCCCCTTACAAATTGTTTACAGACACGTATTTGTTGATTTTAAAATATTTGTGTTGTGGAGGTTTTTTTTAACAGTATATTTCCTATATTTCCTTTTATATATTGATTGAAAAGAAATATCCCAGATAGCAAACTGCCGTCATTAAACGTCAAAAGGACGTCATTTAACGACGTTATATTGCAATGTAACTAACAATCAAAATAATTAATCATAAGAATTTGGAAAATATTGACACCTTTTTTATTGAAACTCCAAATTTATTAATATATGTATCTTATTTCTTTTTGTTCAACAGATCATGAATCATAAGAAATTTCTCCCTGAAAAAATTATGTGAAATATTTTTTCACCTATATATAAATTGTCGATAATAAAATTAAGTATATATTAAATAAAAGATCGTTTTGAGCTGTTTCATGAGAAAATTTGGATAACATTTTGCTTTGAGAATGTTTGTTTTGTTAGGTCTTGAGAGTAAAAATTTCACGGGTGCAACGATCCGTGCCAAGTTTCCGGTATGTATTATTTGTCACTTTGAAAGTCAAACAAGCAATTGTAATATTGTGCCAATTATTTCCGGCGACCATCATCAAGGACATTCTGTAAAAATCCTCACTCACACTCTCTCTCTCTCTCTCTCTCTCTCTCTCTCAGTCTCTTTGTCTCTTTCCCTCTCCCTCTCTTTTGATTAAAAAAATCATTTTTTTCCTTTTAAATAAAGTTAAACACATTAGAGAAAATAAATTAAATAATTTAATTAAATCTGAGATAAATAAAATAATAAATAAAATTAATTAATTTAAAAAAAGTAAATCTAATAATGAGATATTTTTTATTTCAAAATATTTAAAAATGGAAAACAATAAATATAATTTTTTAAACTATGTATACATATATATATATATATATATATATATCTTTATGTAATGGAAAAATATGCTTTTAAAATACTAATTAATAAGTATGTGCATATAATTTATCTTACAATAATATTACAATTTCAAAAGACTATCATAATGGATTAAAGAAAAATCACGATTGAAAATTTACATACGAATGAAAAATAAATGAGAAAAGCACGTGCAATAAATTTTATCTAAGGCTTCATAAATTATTTATAATCATAATAAATTTTACATCGGATTTGATATTGAATACATACGTATCTGTTATCTGAATAAAGCAGATCAAAGATACGATATAGAATGATACATAGTTCTCTTTACATCATCTCTCGAGACACAATGCTATCAATTATTTATAAAAAAAAATATATATACGCGCGTGTATCTTTTGCAGATTAAGCCCCCGCACAACCTAAAACACGCGCATCTTTGCCAAGTAACACGTGATCTACGAGAATAGCATGTGTCAATGGGCTTAGAAAAAACGTTGTGTCGCAATAAATAGAGGAAAATAGCAGTTCTCTTAATTTAACACTTGTACCATTTTCACAGAAGCAAAATAATTTATCCTTGTTGACGTTTTCCTTGTCCATTGTCGTTTTTTACCTTTCTTTGCAATATTTTTATATTATATAATAACATTATATTCTCTTTTTTAAATACATTTAATTTTAATGTGCTTTATAATTTTATAATTTATATAAAACGTGTAATTAAATAGATCAAAATTCTATTATAATTAAATTATTTTCATTATTTTCCCAATATTTTTGTATTTTCATAGATAAAATAGCGAATGGAATATCGCGCATATTATAAGACGCAGATTTTTTATATGATTACAAAATGCAATCATAGCACAGACTTTGTATAAGCCTACTGAACTGCTAATGACAGAAATATCTAAGTAATCATATTTCTAAGCGCGATTTTTATTGATAATCACGTGTTTTTTTTATAAATATGTAATACTGCTGAACTTATATCAGCGTGCATCTCAATTTGATTACTCAGAATTCTATGCAGATACTTGGATTGCATTATTTATTTTTAACGTGAGACGTTTTAAGACTGCACAATCTTTTCAACTTCCAGAATTATAAACGTGTTCTTTAATCTTATGCGTTCTTCCTACACATTCTTTTATAATAGTTTAAATGGTTTTTAAAATTTCAATTAAATACATTTATAAAATTTTATAATTATTTTGATTTTATTTTGTTCAAATCCTAAGTTTGTACGTTCGATTTTTTGTACTTTTAGTTTATTGTACTAACTTATTTGGATTTGTAACTTGTTTAAAATTTTCTGTATTTTTTTACATTCTTGATTTTTAAATTTTTGATTAAAGTTTAGAATAAAATTTGATGTAAAAAAATATAGAAACAGAGAATTGTTTATTAATATATAAATTATTAGTAATAATAATAATAATAATTAATATTACAAATAATATATAAATATAATAATATTAATATTAATATAATATTATTATTAATATAATAATATTAATTTTTAAATTAATAAACAATGCTCTGCTTCTATATTTTTTTACGTCAAATTTCTTTCTAAACATTTTGATTTTAGAATCTTATTATGTATATCTAAATTATAGAGAATATCCAAGCTGATTTAAATCTTATGTTGTAATTTTCCATATATATATATATATATATATATATATATATATATATATAATCTTTTCACGACATACTATTGTACATTATATCAATATAAATAAATTTCAAGATTGTTTTGCAGCCTACTTTCCTAGAGTTCCAAGGTCAAGTGGCTGACTATCAAATGACAACTGTTCAAATAATTGCTCGTGGACAAAGTACAATTATCAACAATAAAGTTTCAATAGAAAAGCATAACATAGTTCATTAAAAAAACACATCGAAACGAGACTAGTCATTTTGACGTTTAATGACGTCAGTTTGCTACTTGGGTTATTTCTTAGAGTTTTTTGAACGCTGAACACGAATCCGGTTTTCAAATTGCTCCGTTACAATTTTGAGAAATTTGCTATTAAAGTTGCAAAAAAGGTTTGTTTATGACGAACTTTGTCGTATTATAGCTATAACAATATGTGACGTGCTGGAAAAGTTTCATTGCTGCATAGTTATCAATTATTATTTAAATTTAAAGATTTTTAAAATTAGTTCGTTGAATACAAATTCAATGTCAAAATTGTCAAATTCAAAATGCTGAATTACATCCTATATTTAACCATAAAAAATTCCTGTTTTGGTGAGTTGAAGAACCTAACAACTTTATTTTAATCGCAATAAAACTTCTCCAACATGTCACTATTGTATAACTATAATATGACTTTGTAGCCCTTTTTTGCAATTTTAATTACAAATTTCTCAAAATTTTGACGTGACGGAGCAATTAGGAAATCAGATTCAGCGTTCAAAGTCTCTATCTAGTCTCATTTCCGGGATTCGAAACAGTCATTGTTTGTTAAATAATGTAATATTCATCCTTTATTAAGATTTTACTTTAGCCTCTTTCACCCTTAAAAAAAATGACAAGCATAAGTCAATTTCTGTCCTATTTTAAGACTGTCGCTGGCTCTTTGTATAAAGATAATTGATACCAAAGATCATAATCTACTTCAATTAACGTTCCGCTATATATTATATTACAGAATATACAGTGTGGTCCGTTATTATTATTATGATGATGCAAGCGTGAAAGAGAAATAAAATTCTCCATAAAAAATAAATAAAAAGACATGCAATATTTTTCGATATACTTCTCTTCAGGAATTCGATAAAGTATGAAAAAAAAATGATAAAAATACCTTGTGCTGAGACACTTTTCTCCTTTTATTGTTGACGAACGCGATTCATCCGCGAGGGTGGACACTTAGCACCGAGCAGAAGACACGGGGATACTGGCCAGATGCAGTTTTGGCAATGCGGATGCACAACGATATACGCTCAATGACGATGACGATTTGAAGACTATAGGTGCTAGATACGTGGGTCCACGAAAATAGTGTCGCGTGGTGAGTGACAGCCGCTCTGTGAGAATTCTACGCGAGCACGAAGGCGAAGAGATGCGTCATACTACTAGACTATGGAGGAAGAACGAGGCTGTGGCTTACCCTCCTTTTTATACGTCCCCACCTCGCGCGCTTAACTGCGAGCACGCGTTCGCGGTGTGCACCACGTAAGTGCATCGCCGACCTCTGTGTATCTCTTTTAGTTACTTTTATTCGGTGCGATATCTAGACTTCGTCGTATGCGCGCGCGCGCGCGTGTGTGAGAAAAGATTCTTGTATAGTTAAGCGATAAGAGAACAAGGAAGAAATAAAGATACCTTAGAAATTTTGCTTCGCTTTGTTTCAGCGAAATTTGGAGCAGTTGTCTTCTAAAAAGATTTACTTGTAATATTATTTATAAAAATTTTAGTTTTCAAGATTCAGATATAGTTAAGCGATAAGAGAACAAGAAAGAAACAAAGATACCTTGGAAATTTTGCCTCGCTTTGTTTCAGCTAAATTTCGGAGCAGTTGTCTTCTAAAAAGATTTACTTGTAATATTATTTATATAAATTTTAGTTTTAAGATTCAGATATAGTTAAGCGATATGAAAACAGTAGTTTTTAAGAGTCATATAGAGTTAAGCGATAATAGAACAAGGAAGAAACAAAGATACCTTGGAAATTTGGCCTCGCTTTGTTTCAGCTAAATTTCGGAGTAGTTGTCTTTTAAAAAGATTTACTTGTAATATTATTTATAAAAATTTTAGTTTTTAACATTCAGATATATGTAGTTAAGCGATAAGAAAACAATAGTTTTTAAGAGTCATTTAGAGTTAAGCGATAAGAGAACAAGGAAAAAACAAAGATACCTTGGAAATTTTGCCTCGCTTTGTTTCAGCTAAAATTCGGAGCAATTGTCTTTTAAAAGATTTACTTGTAATATTATTTATAAAAATTTTGATTTTTTAAAGATTCATATATAGTTAAGCGATAAAAGAACAGTAGTTTTTAATATAAGTAGTTTTTAAGATTCATATATACATATATGTAAATAGTTAAGCGATAAGAGAACAAAGAAGAAATAAAAAAACCTTTTACCTCACTTTGTTTCAGCTATATTCAGAGCAGTTGTCTTTTTTAAAAGATTTACTTGCAATATTATTTATAAAAATTTAAATTTAGTTTTAAAGATTCATATATAATTAAGCGATAAGAGAACAAAGAAAAAATAAAGATACCTTGGAAATTTTGCCTTACTTTGTTTCATTATTAGCTAAATTCGGAGCAGTTGTCTTTTTTTATAAGATTTAGGCTTGTAATTTTATTTATAAAAATTTAATAGTTCAAATATAGTTAAGAGAACAAGGAAGAAAGATATCTTAGAAATTTTATCTCAATTTGTCCAGCTACATTCAGAGCAATTGTCTTTAAGATTTATCCTATATAAATGTACATTTTGATTAATAGTAACAATTATTTAATAATGTATAAGTCATAAGTAATAGAAAAATTAAGTTTGTAATTATAATGTTGCTAAAAATTATTATATAAATAATATCACAATAATTAAGTATAAATCTAAAAAAAGTCATCTCTGTTCTTTCTTTTCAGAAAAAAAATTGATGATAAATTTTATAAAATTCAATATTAATTTGTATTTAAGTTATATTAAATTATTTTTTAATAATGCATCTCATCTCTCCCTTTCTCTCTCTTGGCATTTTATCGAGTTTCAATTGTTTATAAATATAGTTTTTTAATTATCTCTTCTATCGTTCTCCCTCTCTGGTTCCTTTCCTCTGTTTAGATTAGAAAAAAGAAGATATACCATGTATATATGTATCATATCTTTCTCGGAGATTAAATAAAGGCACGTGCGACTTGCGACATCAATTCCCGTGTGGACAATGTGCCAGTTAGTGACAAATTAACGCTCGTAAAGCTGCGTTTTCGTTGCATTCGCTAACCCAACAAGCACACTAATTCTTGGCTAAACATCGGTGAATTGTTTGCTCTTTCACAGCCGCTGGTCTAATCATCGGGCAAACACGACGGAAGATTTGTCATTCGGGGAGAGCTTCTTCAGAATTAATTAATCGCTTTTTACAATATTATCGCGAAGTCTTTGTTTTTCTCCACAATTTTCGATACGAGAAGTTAACATCGCGGATTTTGATAACGAAACACATTATTGCGTCGAGTCTGCCTTCTTGATACAAAATCTTATCATATCGCAAATTTCTAGATCATTTGTACAATTTTTCCTCTTGAGTGCAGAAGCTTTGTTTTATACTTTTTTTGCGATTTTATAGGTAGAACTTTGATGATTTGTATATAAAACGTAATTTTTTTTATTAAAAGAAATATTTGTATGATATTATAGAATTTGAATATTTTATAAAATGTTTGAAGAGAATCACAACTTTTTAAAGTCATAAACATGATTTTGTTATTTAAAAATCTTGACTTTAATCTTCAAAACTGTCTCAAAAACAAGTTTTGATTAATTTATCGGCGATTATATTTCTATAATAATTCAGTTAACAAACATACGTTATTTTGATGTCGAATTACGTCATTAAACGTTATATTGACGTCATTTCGACGTTTAATGATGTCAGTTTGCTTGAGGATCTAATCTTGTTTATTTCTACATTTGTGAAACAACAAAGAATTGATAGTTTTTCTGTATAAAGGAATAATATTAATAAAATACTTAACCAGACGTCATTTTTTATCAATAATAGATTAATCGTTCAATAATTAATTCGATTAAGTTTTAATCGGAGTTTGATCAAAGTGAGGCTTTTGTAAATTCTTTATTCTATCGAATCTACAATCTACTGATCATAGATTTACGAAATTTATGACGCTACGGAATTCTAGTGTATTACAGAGTGTCTGTTCAAATCTTATATAAAAAAATTCCCTGATCTTGCAAGAATTTTTTTGTTCAAAATTCCAAGTAAAATATGAAAATTTGTAGATGCAATTTTTTAAAATATAAAAAAGATATTTTAACTTTATTATAAATATATTTAAAATTGTATTATTTTAAATTATAAATTTTAAATTGTAAAATTAAAATTGTATTATTTTGAGTTATAAATTTATTATAAATGTCTGGAGGAGTACTTTAAGTTGTTTGAATATTATTAAAAAATTGAACAATTTTCTCTTGATACTAAAAAGAAATCACGAATAAAAAATTACATGAGATTTTAATCAAAATTTAAATATTGCAAAGATATATTAGACATATTTCTCTTAAGTATATGTGTGTGTTAAATAAATGCAAAATTATATCAAAGATACAAATTTTAGAAAAAATTCTTGGAGTCTTAATAAAATTTTATAAGAATTTCCGAATTTTTTTAGATGGACCTGTATATTATTTCTCGGGGTGGATTTAGGGATTTTGATTTACAAATTCAAGAAAGATTTGTAAAGTTTCGTCAAATTTTGAACGCGCACGGTATGATAAATTACACAAGTTTACAAAAATTGTTTCTGATTATTGTGCTATGTTTTTTTATTATTTTAAACAGACAAGATGTTTATTATAGATTTTTAGATGTTCTGAAAACGATGCTGTAAGCAGATTTTCACCAGCGCGGCCCGAAATAATTGAATTTTAATTATACAAAAATAGCTTTCTTGCAATATTTGACATTTTTCTATGAAAAAATGATCTGGAAATTCTAATCAGATGTCATATTATTCATTTCCTATAATTTTTTTATAAAATTTCGATATCTTACTTTTTATAATCATGTTAAGAAAGATTTAAATACATAATTTTGATCATTTAATTAGATTTTTCAAATAACGTTAAACTTTGTCTACAAAAAATCTAAAATATTTCAAAAAGTCATTGTTTATACCTAAATTATTTTGAAAATCTAATATATGCTAGAAAAATTTGGTTTTCAGCCTGCAAAAATCTATAAGAAACACCTTGTTTGGTGTAAAATAATTTTTGACTGTAAACTAGCGTTATCATTTCATTTGTTGATCCGCAAATATTTATTTATTTAATTATTTAATTAACATTACAAGTTCAATATTTATTTATTTAACATTACAAGTTCAGCGCCCTCTAGCGGCCAAGAAAGACAGTTTGGGCAAAAAGAACACGTCAAACTTAGTTTTGACCCCTCTACACACCTGCCAAGTTTCGTCAAGATCGATTATTTACACTTGAAAATGTTCCCTTGTGAGTGGCAAGTGACAATTCTTTTTTTTTCCTCATTTGTTCGGACATTTCGGGAGTATCAATCTCGATTATTACGCGACACGTGACACCTCTGATGTAGACGCTAGAGCTGATTGCGAGATCGTCGGTCACGATCGATTATTGTAACTCTGACGTTACAAAACGTTACATCGCCATGGTGACACACGAAAACAAATGCATGCGATCGTGTGAGACGCGCTGACCTACAGTGAGCCCCACGAGTTCAGTGTGTCACGTGTACGTGAGAAAAGGACTGAAGAGTTTCTCCCATTCGTCGACCTTCGCGGGTATAAAAAAAATGTGTCTCGCAACGACAAATTCGCAGGTATCGGAAGAAAGCCTCGAGGTCACTGGAAGGTGCTTTTTGGTATTAAGTTTAATGTCTCTTCGTGCTCTACATCTCATCGCTGCGTGCAAATCTCATGTGAATCTAATTAAATAACCCCTAATAAGGAATCAGGGTAATAACTGGTTCATTAGTTAAAAGTTAAAAAAAAGTTAATAACTTAACTTAGGTAATTTAAAATGTATTAATTTTTAGCTTCAACTAATTATTTTTCACCTTAAACTTATTAACTCCTAAGTTAAGTTTCCTAAGTTCCTAAGTTAAGTTTTTTATAATCTTTGAATACTATTATTGTTTTTTTATGTTATATATGTATTATTTTTAAATGAAAGTATTATTAATTTTTATATGTTTATTTATCATCAATTGTAATTACAAAAAAATATATTTCTATATAAAAATTAAAATTTCTTTATTTGTTATTATAAATTTTAAAAGAATTATGTAATATAAATAATGTTTTTAAACATTAATTTTTTATTTAGCTTCGGTTAATTTAATCTTAACTTTAACTGTATTAATTGC